AACCATTGTTAAGGTAAGAAGGTTGTAGCTAGAAGTGCTACATGCTAGAATGTGATTATATCACGTTAGAACATGAAGGAAGGTATATTCCGTTATGAAATTTGACTCTAAAAGACCTGAGTCTAAGCGTTGCATCATACAACGAGATCTCATTAGAACATGTCCCATCGGTCTGTTACGGTAATCGAAGTAAAGAACTTATCTTAATTTAAGTTTGTTTAAGAAAGAGCAGGAGTTTCCAATAAGGACTGAGTTTGTAACTCGAAGGTTAAGATTGAAAGTCCAACATAGGATAAAGAGCGAGTGCAAGATTGCGCACTGCCAGTAGTCAAGGAGTCCTAGAGTTAGATACTCATTTGAAAGTACATAAGAGTTATGATTACCACCTATGATGGAAAGGAAATGCACGGAGTCATTATACAAGCCCTGTTTTTTTTTTATGATTCTGGGACATAATCATCCTAAGGGGGAGATAATTGTAACACCCGCAGATTCGGGCTAGTCAATTAAGATATAATAGGCGTTAAAAATGATTTTTTTTATATAGAAGATTATCTAGGATAAATAATCTTAACCAAAGTAATAGTTAGGGTTAACAATTGTAACCTATTTGACGTAATAAAGAATAATTATTTGAATATTATATGTTTCATGATTATTATAATATAATAAAATAGGAAAAAGCAGTCGAATCGTCCGTAAATCGTAAAAATAAGTGCGCCAAAACATATATATATATATATATATATATATATATATATATATATATATATATTATATTTAGGAAGTATACATTGTCCCGATCCCGAAAATATAAATTTCATCGAAATCCGAATCCGTATAATTAGATATAATTTTTATAAGATATAAAAGTCAGCCGCGCACAACGAATGTACGACGTAAAAAGCTACAAAGAGAATGGTTGACTTTTAGCGAACGCAACCAAAATAAAAATCGTAGTACTCCTTAAAATAGGAATTTTGAGAAAAAGAATGCCAAAAACGGAGTCCGTACGAGAGAGTTATGATTTTAGCAAAATCATTTAATTTTATAAAAAAAATGGACAAAATTATAAATTCAAAATTAGCCGACGGAGTCTAAACGAAAGTTGTAGATCTCGTTGATAGCTACGCGTGGATATAAAGAACGTCAAAAACGGAGTTCTTATGAACGAGTTATAATTTTTAATAGCACATTTACGTATTAAAATCAAGTGTAAATCATATATACGTATACATAAATATACATATGTATATATCTTTAGAAAGGTATCGACGATGCGGTCGTTATAAGACTAGTGTTGAGTAATTTCGACATTATTTTAGTACAAATATCATTAAATCTATTTAAAATAGTATTATAAATGGGTGTTTAGTGATTTATATAATTATAAGGTCATTAAGTAACTATGGAGGGTAGTTTTTGAAAATTCAATCACTATAAATAAGAGCCTCTAGCTCTCATATTTCTTGCACCATTCTCTTGATTCAAGAGTCTTTCCTTTCTTATCCCCCGAGCATTTCGGTCCCTCATGATTCGACTTCTCTTTCTGTAGTTTTAGTATAGTAAGGTGAGCGTTGAAGCGCTGCAAGAATCTTTCTTAGAAAGATTCAGCGACGAAGTTCTGCCCCTGCAGAGTCCGGCTCCTAGCTAAGTAAGTTATGCTACCCTACTTTAAAAATAGCTTATAATATCGTTATTATTAACCTATAAATAAAATTTATCAGTGATTCAAAGTCGTTATACTGATTGAACTACTTACGGGAGAGGTGTCTAGAATGGTCACATTGGGTTTGGTTGTTGGATTTCAAAAAAAGCTATATGCCGAAATGGTCCTGCCTCCCAATTGTCCTGGTTGGCTGATCCTTACTTGTTAGATAATGAAGTAGACTCTGAGTTAATAATGAATCTAGACTAATAATTTGTCGCAATGAATATTAGACTGAAATCTAGTGGTAATGATACTAGGTTTCGTCGAAGGAAAATAAATTAAGTGAATCACTGTCTGAGTTCGGAATCACCACCTTAACAGGTGAGTGCATAGTTACTTTCATCTTACACATATATATGAAGAATTTTATATAAATTACGTGCTATGTGTGCATATTATCTGAATACTTGTTGTCTACGTTGGATTAACGATTTTATACATGTTTTAAATAATTTAAATTGTATATGTATTTTATATCTACAAAAATATGTTGGGTAAAACATGGGTAGATGAAATATGAGTTGGATGATGAGATAAGAGGTGATATAGACCATGAGATTAGGGTGAGAGGTGAACAATGAGAGAAGTCTTTTACCCAAGCGTTGGCCCCGTCATCTAGCAGAGTATGGATAACAACCACGGACTATTATAGACAGTCCAGTGGAACACTAGCAGGCTCGCAATCTCTAGGTGTTGTTGTGAACGATGTGTTCACCCGGTGTACTCTAAAAACACATTGACATGTATTACGAGTGGACTCTCGAAAACAATACTGTTAAACCCTGGCGACTATGCAGACTTAGTTCCTGAACCCTGGCGACTATGCAGACTTAGTGCCTGAACCCTGACGACTATGGACTTAGTGTCTGTTGTATAAACCCTGGCGACTATGCGGACTTAGTGCCTAAACCCTGGTGACTATGGACTTAGTGCTTGTTGTATAAACTGTGGCGACGATAGACTTCGTGCCGATTCCTTAGGATAATCCTTAGGAAAGAATGAACGAGGAATAGTTGATTCTTAGGGTAAATTCTTAAGAGTAAAGAAGATAATATGATGGGTAATTGGGTTAACTGTTTGATGATTAAACATAATAATTATATTATTGTGGGTTGAAAACCCTATGTACTCACCAGGTTTCCCAACCTGACCCACTCAGTTTATTTGTATCACAGGCGTCGATATGAGGTTACATTATACTGAGGGATTAAGGAGATATAAATCACTAGTGATAATGAATGTAAGTTCTGTTTATGCTTATGTTTCTGTATTGACGATGACATCCCAATGTTTTAAAATGAATAAAAATACATTTCTTCGGAAATGCTTTGATAACGTATTTATCATGTTCTTCTGGGAACAAATTGTAGAACACTTTTCTTTAAAAGGTTACTTTGTATGTAGGTATGTGTGTATATATATATATATATATAATATATATATATATATATATATGTGTATATGTATATATCTGTATGTGTATATGTGTGTATATATATGTATAGTTATGTGTTTTATGTATGGTGTGCTTATTTGTGTGTGTATATATATATATATATATATATATATATATATATATATATATATATATATCTATATATATATATATATATACACACACATGGTTATTACATGTGTAATACACAGTTCTGCAAAATAAAAACAACTTTAAAACTTAATAAAAATAATAATAATTAGTAATATATAGAATAAATATTATTTTTCTAAAAACTTCGATATTTTGTCCACAACTATATAATTATAAATTTAAATTAATTATATATAAAAATGATAACGAAATACCCTTATGATATTATGCCCAAGTAATTTACATAAAAGTTTGAGGGATACAATCAGAACATTTAAAACAATTTCATTAAAAGAACATATAAGTCACCGACTTTATATATTAGTGAGATAGTAACTGTTGATGCCAACAAAGAAAAACTTGTTCTTGAAACACACATTGAGATACAGACACATATCAAGATTTTACAATTCTATCATCTTACTTGCATTCTTTTGAAAATGTAATGTAAGGGTAAATAAATCTAAAACTACTGCCTTTTGGTAAATATATTTTTAACTATTATATTTTGATTAAAAACTCTATTTATCAACATATATTTGAAAAATCAGTAGCCATGAAAAGTGATAATATCATCATAAGCATATTCTTCATTTGTCAACATTACTGTCAAACATAGGGAAATTCCGAAAGTATTCTATGTTCCATTGGGAAAAATAAAATTACGGATGATTAAAACGCAAAATGACCACAATTGATGAAAGTAATGATAGAGAAAGAAACTAAAATCAACACACAAGATACACTGATAAAACGTAATCTCGATATAGCATTTTTACCACCATCTAAATAGTAAACTTTTTATGTAATATAATGTTTGTTTCAATAATACGATAATTAATTTAAAAATAAGTATATACGAATAATTTATCTTGGTTATAATTGTCTAAAAATAATATTTATACCAAAGGTCTTCTAGGCCAGCGGTATCCGGTGTTGTCCTCTTTCCTTGCGGTCGAGGGTTTAAGTCCCACTGTGGACTTAGGCGGAATAATATCGACTAATATATGGGAATGATGTTTATTGTAATTTTTACTTCTTTTTGGCAAGAATTAACTGATTTTCTTTTTTTGTTAATTTATACTGTCTTTTTTACTTTTTTATTTTTTAAATAAAGACATTTATTGACAGTATACCTACGGAAAATCCGTATATAAAATTGTCACGCTTTGAAAAATATCATGGCTCGCTAAAGCTCGTCAGTCGTCATGGCTTAGCACTACTAGAAAACTAGGGCAATAGCTACGACACAATCCGTAGGTATAAGGCAATACCTACGGATTTGCTACGGAAAAAGGCCTGTAGCATAAATGCCCGTGGGAAATTTATACCTACGGATTTGCTACGGATTAGCTACGGCCTATTCCGTAGGTATAATACCTACAGATTAGCTACGGAAACGAATTGCTACGGAATGCCTACGGATTGCCGACGGGTGTGAAGTTTGACTGAATTTGACTTTTTTTTCCTACGGAATAGCTACGGAACAGTTTAGCTACAGATTTCCTACGAATTAACGACGGATTTCAAGTTTGACAAAAATTGACTTTTTTCCTACGGAATACCTACGGACCTATTTAGCGACGGATATTCCGTTAGAAATCCGTCACTAAATTAGTAAAAAAAAACTAAAAAATTCAGTTTTTCTGCTTAAAATGCACAAAAAAAAACACAATACATTAAATTTATAAAAAATTATTACTCAGCCACAAAACTAGTAAACATTACAATATATGTTTTTGGTTATAGCATTGTACTTTGCATTTACTCAATTTATTTTCATAAAAATAACTTAAATACAAACCAATACAATTCATACAAATACAATACATTTGAATGTATTATCCTACTTTGTACAAGATATAGCTCTTAAACCCTTGGTTGAAAGACCTGTAATAAAATCAAAATCCCAGATTCAATACATGAGTTAATTACAAAATAAAGGAAATGTAAAAAACAAAAAACTGTAGAGAATAGCAACGTGCTTTACTCCCGCTGCCAATTTGGGTAATGCGCTTTAATTTTTTTCCCATTAGAGCTACATACTTATGTATTTGACCAACAATTGCATTGTTTTCAATAATTTATTTATAGAATCCTAACTATATTTCTTTTATGGATAGAAGTTACTAGTCAAGTTGTTTTCAACCCTTTATAGCATCAAACTTTAATTTCTTCATATTGCATTACAATAGATTTGGCATGCATTGGATTATTAAGACATTAAGATAACATGTTCACGATTTGAAAACAAATTGGTTTAAAAACTAAAATCTTAAAAAGAGTACCTGAACGGAAACCAAAAGTAGGATGTTATACAAAAAAAAAAACATAAAAACTACAATGTTAATTCATGCATTTAACCCTAAAAACAACTTTCCAAGTTTCAAGAAAACTATGTTGCTATATGTAGAATTTCTTACCCAAGAAATGCACCCAAGTTGTTGAACTTATGGTTTTCTGCTTTGTGGTGTATACATAAGCCTGAAACACAACAAAATGGAATTAAAAATGAAATAAAAAGAC